TACCTTGCGCCTCTTAAAACAACTACAGTCATGAAAACTATCCATGCCAAGAGCTGATGAGGATGTGGAACAATTGCAACTTTTATGCACCACTAATGAGACTGTAAAATGGCACAGTCTCTTTAAAAATTGTCAATTTCTTTTAAAATTAAAGGGGTAGTGAGTTAATTTGACTCCTGTGATAAGCAGATGCAAAGACTTGATTAGATATTTCCTGTTACTGAGACATAATATCCAACACCAGGAATTTAAAGGAGGAAAAGTTTAATTTATTTCTAATTTACCTCATGGTTTCAGGAGAGTCCATTATGATCATCAGTCTTCAAGGCAGAAACTTCATGGCAGAAGGGTATGATGGAGCAAAGCTGCTTAGTTCTTAGTGCCAGGGAGCAAAGCAAAGGAGCAGTACCAGAGAGAAGGGCACACCTCCATGACTCACCCAGATACAGCCAGGAACATGCTTTACTAACCTCCTAAGTATCTTTTTGTCTGATGAAGTTAATAGAGCAGCACTGATGATCACAACATTCAAGAGATTTGCTGGGGAAAACATTTTGAGGGAAAATACGGAGGGAACTGGAAGAGCGGGTGAACTGTCAGTCTCTAATACAGACTTCATGTGAAGAAGAAAAGGAAAGAAGGATTTTGATTAGGAAAAGTCTTTGACCATGACACATTTCTACGAAAGTTTCAGTAAAATTGAGCCAAAGTTGCCTATGAAAAGAGTTCTGCAACTTTCAGGAGCAAGCTTATCTTGCTATGTCTACCAAGCCCACTCACTGGCTAGAAGCTTTTGGGAAGCATGGTGTTAGCATCAACCTGGTCATAAAAACTGTAAGACAATTTTGCTGTCTGACATTGTAGATATAAAACATACATTTTCACAGCCAGCTATCTGCCCATTTACTACACAGATTTGCTTCTCCATATGTGTTTAGGTAGCAGCTGTTTACTGGTTCCTGTGGGCCTCTCTTCCTCAGTGTACTCTTAGAAGAGAGATTTTAAAGTGTTTTATTCTTCCTAGTGACCTAACTATATCTTCAACCAGTCAATTCTAGATCCAAAAAATTAGTTTGGTTCTGGGAACTAAATAGAGTGTGATGATTTCTTAATTGGAGCACTGCAATGACTCGAATATAGTTTTGTGTCCCCCCAAACTTAATTGTGATTAAATGATTAGGGTTGCATTGTTGGGAGATGGGGCCTAGTGGGAGGTTCATAAGTCACTGGGTATCTGAGTTTGTGTGACCACTTGGTAGTTCTTATGTAACCCCTTGTGTTATCATGAGGGCATTGTTATAAAAGAAGCAAGCCTTACTTCACCAGTCGTCCCTTTCTCTGCTCCTATTCAAGATGTGACCACCTGCCCCTACTCATTAACAGTGTGATCTCTTAAAACACCTCATGGTTAGGGAAGCTGTGGCAGGAAGACTGCAAGTTGGAGGCCAGTCTGGCAATTTAGTGACACCATTGCAAAAATAATAAAGGGCTGGATATAGTTCAGCCTAGCATGTGTAAAGCTCTGACTTTAATCCCAGTACCAAAGGGGGAAAAACATAACATTATGGTAAATGAAACAAACTAGATTTAAAGGGCTATATATTGTGTGATTCTGTTTATATAACATTCTTTTTAAAAAAGCAGAAATTTAGAGCAATGTTTTCCAGTACATAAAGATGTGAATTGCAGAGAAGCGTAGTCATTAACAAGAGAGAGAAAATTTGATGATGCATGGAGCCAAAATGTGAACATGGGAGAGGCCTGATCATATGAGAGTATAGCAGAGCTTTGTTATAGTTCTAGAGTTGTAAAGTAGTTGGGCTCTACAAACCTCAGTATCCAAGCTTTGTGTCACACTTTAACCACTGACTCTCCTATTTTCTAAGTTGTCGATGCTTAAGAGTACAAATTAGTTTCTTCATACAAAAGCATTCTTTCAGTGACTTTTATGTTTCAAACATTGTTCAGGGTCTTACCAAAAATTTAAAAAATCTTCACTACACATAAAACAACTTCTAAAAAGTTTTATTAATAAAATTTACCTTCTTTTGAATTATTCACAATATTGAAGAAGTATTTTTTAAATGCTACATGAATAAACTTACTTTGTTTTATTCAGTTGAGTTAAATGAAGAAAAGCACAAAGATCTAATAAAGAAAAAGGAGATGGAAATTTCAGAATTAAACGCAAAGTTAGTAACTCAAGAAAAGGAAAAGCAAAATGAAATAATCAAACTACAGCTGGAGGTAGGTGTTTAAGAGTCTGATAAACTTGATACTATATATTCCTTAATCTAAGTCATATTTTGTTTTCCAGCACAATGAGACAAATTTTAGGGCTAGAAACAATTTTGTGAAAGGACTTAATACACTCTCATTCTTTATCAAATGCATTTCTCAGTCACCAGAGAGCTATCATGTACACTTCCTTTTAGCAGTTCGCCCAAGAGAGCACCAGTTTTTCTGAAGGTCCTGGTTTCTGGGAAGGGAACTGTTTCCTGTGAGAGTAGGGACAGATACTTCAGGAATTACCTGAATTTTATAGTCAAGTGTATGCAAGCTTCATAAGACAACCATTGTTAGAGAGTTCTTAATATTCAACATTGCTCTCTCTCCCCAGCAGAAATAGAGTAACCTTCATAAACCAGCTGATACTTCCTTCTACTTTTATTTGGAATAAGAGGATACAAATTTCTACCTAATAAATTTCTGGAAAAAGATGTATTGTGGGGCAAACAAGCCAAATTTCTAAAACAATAAAACAGAAAAATTAAACAGACTCTAAATGGGGGATTTCATAGGGTGAGGCTCCAGCTGTTTCTTCTAAATAAGAAAAAAAAAATCACATCTTCACTCGATAATAAGCATTGCTAAGATTTTGAAAACTATCTAACATCACTCTATTTATAAACACTCAAAAACACACATAAACAACTTTTCAAAAATGAGATGTTACAGATTCTTGTAACCTATTTTTTCATTCAGTAATATGTTGTGAGCATCTTTTTTTTTATTTTAAAAAATAAAAGAAGGAAAACATTAACAGACATCCATTTACAAAATAGCATAAGAACAGCACAAACAAAACAGAGTTACAGAGTTGTAGGAAATTAACAATGGTTGTTGTGTTACTTATTGATATCTTCAAAGTGGTTTCTCAGGAAAACAAATAGAGACATAAAAGATTGATCAAACAAGTAATCATTAACTGTTCCTTTCTGTTGAACAATAGAAGACAGTAGTACAACTATGTTAGCTATCCTGTGTATATATACTTACATAATTTCCCTTTCTTTCCCTTCTCTTTTCCCACACCCCAGTTGCCCTTTACTTTTGAGCATTTTCCTTTCAGTTCAAAATGTCTATCATACTTCCTAGTTTTTATTCACTCTTTCAAGTTCTTACACTAATGAGACAATGCGATGCTTACACATGCAGGTCTGATTTATTTCACTTATGAGTATGGTCTCTAGTTGTGACCATTTACCTATAAAGGCCTTGAGTTTATCTTTCTTTATAGCTAAGTAATATTCCCTTAAATAAAAGTACCACAATTTTTTTATCCAATCCTTGGTGGATGGACATTAGGGTTGCTTCCACAATTTAGCGATTACAAATTGTGCTGCTATGAACATGGATGCACATATATTGCTGTGATATGTTTTCAGCTCTTATGGGAAGATACCCAGAAGCAGAATAGCTGGCTTGAATGGGACCTCTAGACCCAGTTTGCTAAGGAATCTCCAAACTGATTTCTGCATTGGTTTCACCAGTCTGCATTCCCACCAGCAGTGGAGAAGAATTCCTGTTTCTCTGCACCCTCGCCAGCATTTGTTATTGGTTAATTTCTTAATGATAGCCATTCTTACTGGAGTGAGATGAAATCTCAGTGTTGTTTTAATTTGCATTTGTCAAATGGCTAATGATGTCGAACATTTTCTCATGTATTTATTTGCCATTTGTATTTCTTTATCTGTGAAGTGTACATTCATCTCTGCTGCCCATTTTTGGATTGGGTCTTTGAATTTGGGGGTACTGATGTTTTTTAATTCTTTATAAGTTCTAGATGGAAGACCTATGTTCAAGGAACAGTCAGCTAAAATTTTTTCCCAATTTGTGGCTTTTCTTTTTACTCTACTGGTGATTTCTTTAGATGTGTAGAAACTTTTCAATAGGATGAGATACCAGTTGTTGATTCTTTGAAGTATTTCACTGGCACTTTGATCTTTATTCATGAACTCTCTGCCTACTCCTATGTCTTCAACCTACTTTCTCTTCCAATAGAGTTAGTGTTTCTGTTTTAATATTAAGATCTGTGATCTATTTTGACTTGAGTTTGGTACATGATGATAGACTTGAGTCTATTTTCAGTCTTTGGAGGTGGCAAGCCAGATTTTCCAGCACCAATTATTAAAGAGGCTATTGCTCATTGAATAAGTTTGTTTGGCCCCTTTATCAAAGATTAGGGGGCTGAGTGTGTTTGTGGTTGTGACTGTGTCTTCTGTTCAGTTGACCTTTGCATCTGTTTTCAACCAGTACATTGTTGATTTTTTT